GATTTTGAGTTGTTGAGTTTTGCCGAGCCACTGCCTCTAATGGAGAAGGCAAGGTGAGAGTAACACACGACTTCGCGAGTAATAACTTTTTTCCAGTTTACCTGAACGACCTTCGATTCGGCTCACAAAATACAACATTTTTGCGTTTTGTCTGTAAACGTAGCCTTTGGCGGATACAGTTAATCGTAGAAAACAGCTTGGCATCTTGGAGACAAGGGAGGGAAAGTGGAAATTTGCGCCTATAGTGAAGGGCTGCAGAGATGCATAAATTAGAAATCGTGAGTATGAGCCCATCTAGCCTATCACTTTATATTTATAACTAGAATGCAAGCACTAATAAGCTGTAGATGCATGCGTTCTATTAGAGTCTGTGACTGAGTTATCTATGCTGTAATTCTGCAGCATCAAAAAAAGTTTTTCAGTAGTAAAACATATTCGTGTTTTCTAAAGTTAATTTTGATTATACGAAATCACACAAGTAAAGGGGTAGGCAGAAATGCCACTCGTTTGATATAGTGAAAACGTTCTTTCATTTTTGCGTTTAATTGGAAATGTGGCTTAGGTCTACTAGAATGGTCATTTTCGCTATTAGGCACAAATAGCACCATAAAGACAGTATCTGGGCAGGACCTCTGCTTTTCCTAGGAAACCACGGCAAGACTCTCCAGGGCGGTAGGTTTCCGTATGTGCGAAAGTGTTTCTTGTTTCGACTGTGTTTCTGGTTTTGACTAAAACATCATGGTATCCAAATGTGAGTTTTGTTCGAGTCTGTCCCTCTTGCTCGGTACTAATATCCCAGAGTAACTATTGCCCGCACACTGCTTATTGAAACAAAGCACCCCGTAGCTTGTCCAAAATTGGATAACATGTTCGCCAAACATCGCGCTTGCCTTGAATGTCTGAATGGGAAAATAGATCATAACTATGCATGATCAACTGAAGTGCAGCTTGAAGGCGGTGTCTGGGCAAGGTGAGAGTATGTGGGACTTCAGCTACATGTGAAATGGGTTTCTTCGGACCAGTTCTCGCACAAGTTTGAGCTCCTAGCGTTGAACTAATTGCGAGAGGTCCGCATACTTTTTTGGCACGTGTTAGAAAAGTATGAAGTTCTTCCCGCTTACAAATGATGTAGCTTGTAAAGGCATAGTCAGAAGTGGGAGCTAATTTAAAAAGCTGTTTCCGTCTTCTTTGCCACGTGCCTCTGCAGAGAATTTGGGCAAATTGCAAGGTGTTCGTGTTGGTTTTCTCCGTTATCCGGACTCACATTTTCAAAAGGCTCTCATGAAATACGCTATTCAGTTTAAGTACCGTTTTACGAGGACCTCCCTGCCACGTGTCAGGAAATTGACAGGCTTTGTCCCAATCTAACATGTTTTTTCTAAATCATTACCGGTGAAATAGAAGATTATTTTTTGATCAGCTAAAGGCTGTTTAACTGTTTTTCATAAAAGCAAAACAATTTAGAGCGTTTATTAGAACATCTTATTGCTTTCGGCAATGATTCGAAAATGTTCTTCTCTTCAAACTCCGTCCGCCATGCGATTCTAGTCGGGAAAGGCTACAAATGATGGATGGAGTAACTCGCTAATGCTCGTTTCGCCGCTTAGACGATGGGAATTTAGCGCAATCCTCTATTCTAAGCGAGTCCAATCTTTTTATTGATCAGGATAACATTATCATTTTAGTAATGTTCATTTTTGAAATTATTTTATCGAAAATGGGACCATTAAAAATTGAGGAACAGATTGAACTTACGTCACAGGTAGGGCAATACAAACACTTGGCAAAACGTGCTAAACATGTAGGTGGCATGTCAAATTTTTTTTTGACAAGTGTAAAAGGTTGACACTCCTTCCTGTAAAATTGGGACCAATTATGACGCAAGGAAAGAAACGATACTCTTCTTTGAAAAAATGGGTCAGGATAATGGAAAAGTACCTTCTTTGCTAAAGTGCTTTGCTAAAGTGCTCCTTTTTGGCAACTAAATGTTAGCATGACCTCATGTCACAGTTTACTGAAAAAAAGGTTTGATTTTCCAGTTTACGTCCAGCATTGTTTATCAAAATCAGCAACTTGCATCAATCAATGTACTAAGTTGAGTCTTTTTCAACCTTCGCCCAAATGAGGTCATCTTTAGACAATCTTAAAATAATGTCTAGCGCAACATTTCATCCTCTCTTCGGCAGTAATGTTGGTTGAGGCAATTTTCCTTTTGCTCAGAACCCTTAATTGCGAAGCCGACATTTGTGCCCTTTGTAATTTTCGCTAATATTTAACATTTTTATTTCAAAATTTAAAAAACTTGAATACCTGGAGATGGGGCAAGTGTTTTTTTTTGCAAATTATTTTCTAGGTCTTGACTAGCTTTTTCAGGCGTATTTAGAATATCCGACAACTCTCAAATTTAAAAAAATTGCGTTAAACCGTACAAAAATCTTGAAATCAAAAGGGTTCGAAACTTTATTATCATCGGAATTAATTTGAGGGAATTATCAAGCGTCGTTTCAAAATATCATGATTTGAAATTTTTGGACAAAGATATGCCAGTTGCAAATATTCAACGTGAACACCTTGAGTTCAAGAATTTTGTGATCAACTCAGCGGTATTGGAGCCAGGCTCGGCACAGGAAGCATTGAAAGATGAATATCGTTTTTGGGACAACAAGCGGTTTTTGTGGCCGGATAAACAAAAAGATTCCGTTTTTTAGTCGAAGTGTTAAAGTCAAGGGGACTTCGTGCGAAAGTTCAAAGATTAAAGGGAACTTCGTTCAAAAAGTTTCAGGTGCCAGCTCGTGCCCTGACTGTAACATTCAAATAGACCTTGTAAGGGCTGAAAAGAAAAGGAAGCGTTTTTTTTAAGCAACTCTGTATCAATATCTCTGATATGGGCAGGAGATTAGAAAAGGTTTTCGGCTTCGAAGCTAAACATCCGAGAATGTAAAAAATCTACTTCCGACATCTTGTTTTCCTGTTTTTCATTGGTGAGATTTCCTCAACAAGCTTTACAGCAAACAGAACAATTTACCAAACTCTCATGTTTGTGTTACCACTACTTGTGCTTGATTCCTCTCTTAACGACTTTTCAGCTACAATTGTTTGAGGAGTAACTTATAAATTCGAAAAATCTGTGGCAATAAACTATTCTATACATTTTCTGGATTATCTTTACCTTCCCTTCTCAAGACTGCCTTCGCTGCCCAACGTCAACATTAAAGAGGCGTTGAAAAGAAAACTTTTTCGAGTTTAAAAAGATTTTTGAAACTTTTCAGCATACCTGAACCACTGCAGAGGCTATAGAATTTCTCTTTGAGCTTAGAAGATTTTCTTAAGTTTTTTTGTACTCATGCGACCTAAGTGGAGGGTGACATAAAGTACTTGCCAAAATTGCATTTTTTCCTTTCTGGGTTTCCAAAAGTAGTGGATTCTTTTTTTTTTTCAAATTCTTCTGATGTAATGAACTCAAGTGATTTGTTAGAGCAGGCAAACTTTCAAATGCATATTACTTTTTGAAAAACACCATGCAGTACATTTGTAAAAGAAAAAAATGCGACAAAACTCATTACACAACCTAATATTAGGCTGAAAACTAACAAGGGAAGCGTGTGTAGTCGAAGTGGCCTTTTCAGATGAGACCCATACTGCTTTGGAGAGTATTGCGCAGTGATTTGAAATTTACCTTCATTATCTGCCAAGTGCCTTTGGACACCGAGAAAAAAATAGAACAAAACTAGAGTAAAACCGCTCGTATTTGCTCACAAGATCCAGTGTTGAGTATCAGAGCAGTTCATGCAATGGATACATTTTGTGTAACATGCTAATACTTAACATTGCTTTATATGAGCGCTTGACGGTCGTATCTCTGCCTCCAGAGGCGCCTGGCAGATAATGAAGGCAGATTTGGAGCTATCATGGAATGCTTTTCAAAGTGGTATAAGTTCATTTAACGCAACTTCGACTAAACATGCTTCCCTTGTAAGTTACTAAGACTAACTTCTTTCATAACATTACTCTGTTTAGATGTAGCGCACTCAAACCTCTAGCAGTATGTAGGGCGTAATGTGTGCTATACGTCGCACAAATGTTCAAATTTAACACGAATTGGAAAACTCCCATTCATTTGAAAACTAGTGAGTTCGAGAATTTTTGGGGTTGTAAAACAAAATGAAGCCGTTAGCAGCGTAAATTATGCGCATTAATCTGGAGTTTTACATGAGTTGTTGCTAAACGCCTCTTCTCTTGTTTGGGACCGGCCAGACTATTTGAAGAGGTGATTCCTGCGACTCCTGTAATTCCTGCAATTCTTGTGATTCCTTTACTTCCGATGTACCGCACTACGGAGCGCTTTGCAAATTTTGACATACGTTGTTTTTTCGCAATATACATTGTTATGGGACCCGCAGCAATCACAGAAATCGCAGGAATTGCGGGAATCACAGGAGCCGGTCTCTTTAGCTTAAGACCCCATCGCAAACCTACAGTAATCCTACAAAAAGGCCTCAACACGCAACCTTATGATCGTTTCGTTACTAACATATAGGATACCCTCCATGCCAAGTTTCAGTCCAATTTGTCAAATTCCATAATTTTTACCTTTACCGTTACCTCTTTACCGTATACCCACCGTAACCCTCACTGCGACTTCGAAGTTCGTGGCAAAATGGCAAAATTTGGGTGCGCCATATTGGAGAGGAAAGTTATTGAATGATTCGTAAGATTTGGTTTCCAACCTATTATATTTGCCGTTATTTTTTTAAGGTGTGGTTGTAATCCCCTCTCTCCGCCATCCTTTCCTTGTTTCCCTTCAAACTGACTTCTCCGTGCAAGCTTTTCTCCACACCTCCGTCCATTCTTTTTCTTCATCTCTACAGTTCTTCATGCTCACCACCGCTTCACCGTTTCATTCTGTGAAAAACCGAAATGGGGATATCGAAATCAAAGACAATTCGTACCCGAGAACTTCTGAAGCCACCTAATGCCGTGTCCTAACATATGAGGACAAAATGCTTGAAGAAGAAAAATTGCAGCGTGTCTGTTAAAATCTTCAGTTTGAGTTTTCGTGCGTAGGTAAGATAATAAAGCTGAAATTCGAAAATGCTAGGAGAAAAACTTTTGTAACGGCGTATGAGCTAAGCGGATGAGCGGGAGATTTATCTAAAAAAAGACCAGGTTTGATACTTTAGGAAGACAGAAAGCGGAGGGAGCTCTTGGAGCAAGGATACGAGCAATACCGTCACATCAACTTCAATGTAAGTCAACATTTCACGTCGATAAACAATCATGTTAGATGACTTGTTTTCAGAGAGGACGTAACACTGTGCCTGTCGATCTTTTCTTTAACGTCAACCCCGAAATACGTCTTGAGCAGTTCAAGCCTAAGCCTGAATCACATGCTCCATTTGCCATTGCGCGAGGCTACAAAACTTTACACGGAAACGATGTCAAAATACTGCGCCTAACCGATGAAACGACCTCTGAGCCAGGAAGCGGAGAACTACCTCAGAAAGTTATTCTCGTAGACGAAGTCTCCGATCAACATTTTCAAGATGATTTAGAAATCATAAATGACATAGACCCAGACCTGCAGCCGAACCCTGCAGAAACGTACCCTAAAGAGATTCCAAGAATTCCTGATGAAATGCAACAGGGTGCTTCTTGGCTTCAAATGCCATCAATCAATAGCGTCGATAGTCTGATCGAACAGCGGGAAGAGAAAGAAAGTAAGTCATTGCTTAATTTTTCAGCTTCCTCTGTATGGAGTAAAGTCTGCTTACACAATTCCTTCCAGAAGGTGGTAGGAAGACCTCGGAAATCCCTTTACTTGTTTATGAAACAACGCCAAGTCCCGTCAACATCGAAACTTCCGAGAACATAACCTTATCCTCAGTCTTGAATCTCACAACGAACAGTACAGCGACGAACATGTTCACAGTGCGTCCTGAGTTTGCAACTCCATTGCTTTCTGTTATCAGCGATCTCGTCCGAGACGAGTACGACTGGGAAGACAAAGGAGAATGGAGATCGGGAAAAAGCCCGGCTTCAAAAAAGAGATCTTCGGGTATTCTTGGATGGAGAGGCGTATTTCGAAAACATAAGAGGATGGGCGTGCAGCAACATCAAGAATTTCCTCGAGGAGACATGCTCAACGAAAAAAAATTTGCGGTCCTAAACCCAGTTCGTGAAAAAGAGCAACCATTAACTCAAAATTCGAGGTAAGAAGCTGAATAAAAATTCACATACATCTCTTGAGGTATACCATTTCATATCCTTATCGAGATATAGCTGCTAGACTTATTTAGTGGGTATTATTTCGCTTGGAGCAATAATGTCTCCTTAGAAAAAATATATCTTAGCAGTTTGTATCAAGTCGTAGTTAACCGTGCAATAACATGACCGGATGCAAGATGGTGAAAAAGATATCGTAATTTTCCTTTTCAAAAGAGATTCATCACTGTGAGAGTCTCAGAAGAGCCCCAACTAATACTTCTCGTTACATGCTAAATCGTCCATTGTTGGCTAGAAGGTTTTGTAAAAGTTGATCTCATTATCATTAGGTGCAAATGATCCTCTTCGACAGTGATTCGTGAAAATGCATGAAGTATATACTCGATAGAGCAAAGCAAGCTTCACAAGGCAACCACCAGTTTTTCTCAGAAATCATAATGTACCTCTTGTCGGGGATGCGTAGCAAGCGGCATCCGGGCAGCCGACTGCTGCCACAGCCAGATGCCAGAGCTGGCGTCAGGTTGCGGCAGCAGATGGTTAATCAAGCCAGTCGTCTGAAATCTCCTGCCGAGAAATTTTCTCGCACCTCTTCACGCTGAGGTGCGATATCACCCACAGGGACACCACCATATCCTCAATATCTATGTACTTGCAAACCCTCAACTTTCTACATTTTACTGATATCAAGCAAATGGACAAATCAACACAGAGTAGAGTTTTCGTAAAATGGTCACAAAATTGAATTCCTCAAGATCAGAAGCCGAATCAAAATGTTAAGTTGTTAAAATTGTTTTTTGAGAATTCAAATCGAAAGAGAACGGGCGACACAAAATGAGAAGAAAATCTTCTGGACATGACAAGAAAAGCTGTGAAAATCAGTACTTTTATCAGTATTTTACTTAAGATGCTTTCTGACTTTTTACACCTTTCCATACTCCTATATTGTGAGCAAAATTTCAAAACCAAATATAATGTCGTTACGAATTCTGAAATCTTCATGGAAAATTATGTTTAATCTCGAAAGGACTGTGGCGAGCAAAAAATCTATTAGCACAGAAAACGAAGAGAAACGTGTCGGCCAAATTCGTTTAAAAAATTTCCAGAAGCAGAAGAAGCTCATTCAGAAGTTGCTCAAGCAATTTTTTCGTCTCAAATTTGTAACAGAAAAAACTATCTAATCTCCCATTTATTCGCTTTCGTAACTGTCTGTAAATTTTCAAAATTGTCACTGTATACTTATGTAAATGGTGGCATAGTTCTCAACAAACTAAGAATTTTTGCTGTTTAGAACATTATAGATGTTGAGGGTATTGCGCTGTCTCTGATAACTTGATATCGCACCTCACCGCGAAGAGGTGCGAGGAAACTTCTTGGCAAGAGGCTTCAGACGATTGGCGTAAACAATGTACCATCTGCAAGGGCGCTGACGCCAGCCCAGCTCTGGCGGTTGGCTACGGCAGCAAGCGGCTGCCTGGATACCACTTGTACGCCTCCCTCTTGTCAGAAGCAAAACTTATTCAATCACTTCGAAGTCCGGATCTGCGCCAGGAAAAATTTTGCCAGCCAAGTCATTGTGAACAAAAGTACTCTGAAATATAGAAATGCAGCTGGAATTTTTTTTGAGGGTAGACAAGAGATAACTAATAAAAAATGGCGCCTTCCAGTCAGCGAACGCAATCAATAAATGCTGTCCTTATGTTGCATGCTGAGCATGTAAGAGATCGGTAGGATTTTCTCAACTAATTCAATGCTTGCGCCTAATGTGATCAATAAAGCTTCAAATTCCATGAGGATTACGATTTACAAAGTCTCGGTAGCCATTTTGGAGAGCATGCTGCTCTAACGAATTTGCCCCAAATCCTTTTTGTATTCACATTTCGGCTGTAGCTAAAACGCTCATTATTTTTTCAACAGCCTAGAAGGTTGTGTAAAATGTTTTGTCGCATTTTTAATTTGCTATTTGTATGTTTTCTGCTGTGATTCATCAAATGCTTGCTTCGATGAACATGCTAAAGAAAAGAATGAAAGCAGAAAACACGGCTGTACATACGTTTGTTGTTAAGTTTGCTGAGCCTGAAGAAAGATGTCGAGATGTCTTTCACTGTAGTTTTATCGTCGTAAATATTCTTTGCCTTTTCGGTTTCACTTCTACTAAGTGGCAGATTGATACAAACTTTTGTAGAGCAGACTTGAAGCTCCCAACAACTCATATAAATTCTGTCGACTTTACAGAATATAAACGAAAATGAAACAAAAAAGGCTAACAAACTTATTACATAACTATAGTATACTAGTAAACTATTTTAGCTTGTTGCGCCAGCCAAGCCAGCAGATGAGCTATCAACATCGTAGCAAGCAAAAGCGACAACTGCGAAGAGAAAAGGTGAATTCAGGCTCAAAAACTGTGCAGCTGGACTCCACGAACAAGTTTTCATCAAGTCTTCTCAAACAGCATTCTGTTAAGCGAACCTTAGAGGTAGTAATTTTTTTAGGAAGTGTTAAATTAGAAATATTTATGAAATTAGTACGGCGGCCAAAGAACCAGAAGCGGCGTTAGTACGAAGATACGACTTTGGAATCAAGGTCGACTCAATCTCAGCCCAAGGAAGAAAGTTAGGCGAAGTTGCAAATGCTAGCCATGTAGTCGTAACTCCCTGTCTGTAGCATTGTGTGAGATTGTCAATTTGCAGTCAACCAATCAGGAATGTTGCGGCTTATAGCCGTAGTCATTGAATACACATAATTTCTCTTTAGTAAAGTTGAGTTATATTGTTTGCCTTTTTTAGATCATTAAAAGACTGCCCAACCTTCTGCTGTACACAAGTGACACAAAGTCAAATGCAATAAGACAACTCTATCAGCAGACTGAAACGGCCGTATAAAGAGAGTAAAAAAGAAAAAAAATTTGAGTATTTCTTTGTTCGTTATCTTTAAAAAAGCTAAGTGGTGTTGTAAAAGACAGATAGCTACGATAACAGACTCTCATTTACTGGCTTATACTAACTTGGCTCTACACTCTCACTTTGAACCACCACAACTTCAAAGTAATTTCTCTACTACGGTACTAATCTTCACGCTTAGCGCTTCATCTTGTCGCTGCGGTCCCACATGCCTTCTTACGTGAACTGATTACTAAAGAACTGAGCACGAAAGAAGTTTTAATCGCTGATATTTGGACCTTATGTATGTATAAAACGAACAGAGACCATAATGGTGATTGGTAGGAAGGTATCAAAAAATAGTGGACATAGGATACATACATAGGAAGGCACTTTTTCAGAACGACTACTTTATTACTGGTGTTTCAAGCTCTTATATTACAGCGGCATGCTCTAAACTTATGGGCCAATCCCAAAATCATAGACCAATTTAATCGACTTGACTAATCCTGTAAAGAGTTGTTCGGATGTGTTCATTGCAGGATGACCTAAAATGCCAAGGTTTTATGTTTGCAGCAGTAAACAAGAGTGCGCCAAGCAATTTTTTTAACAATTTAGAAAAATTACACTTTTAAAATGTTCAAATTTTCACGGTTTCTAATCAAAAATAAAGCCGTGATTGACCTACATCAAATATATCAAGACGGAATTGTAGGCAGCATGTTGGAAAAGCTTGACTCAATGAACCTCAAAGAAAAGCACCTAACACAGCTTAACCTTTTGTTGAGCGACCTACCATTTAGCTGCGGAGGACAAATTTCGAACGTTCTGTTTTTGTTTACTGTGAAAAATTGGCATACTATCCAACAGGGGAGGACTGCCCGTAAGTAAAAATCTGCCGAAAAAAGGTCTGAGATACCAAAACAACTCGAAATGAATCTTTTCTCACAGGAAAGAAATATAATTCAATGTATTAGCACTTAGATTTTGATGTCAGTAAGTCGATAATTGTGCAAATTTGCACAGAAAAAAGTCAATAAATCGCTCTTTATTTATGAGCCAGCTATAGGGATTTGGGCGGTTGCGGGAGTCGGTGAGTTTGCGGTCACTGCATGCGCTTCAAGCTTTCTAGTTACCTTTCTCGTTTCAAATGCTTTTTCTGCTATCAGATGTTAGCTTCCAATTACCTGAAACTATAATACGGAATTGTTCAACTTGTTCAAGGCCTTGTGCATTCTGCGTGTACAGTAGCAGCAAACTCACCGAGTTTTACGATTACGCAGAACCCTAACTAATATCGTATCTGTAATCAGCGTCTGAAGCCGATTCAAAATGTCTGGGTCTCTTGTCAAAAGGCTAATCTGAGTCAGGTACCTTTCCTCGTCTTTAAAAAAGAGAGGTATTCGCAAATAATCGAGCATATTTAGTGCTAATTGTGAATCTGGTGTCAATATCCACGTTTTTAGGCAAACCTTTGAATCATAGATATAACACACGATAATGAAAGGAGCCAAATCTGCAATAAAAGGTTTAAGACCAGGGTCAAGCGTGTTGATGCGATCCTGGACCCTCATTTACGACCCCCCCCCCCCTTGAAGGTACCCATCCGCACACCCCCCTCCTCTCCTCCCCTCCCTCCCCCTTACCTCCCCTGCCCACATTTCTCGCGGTAAGCTGCATAAATAAATGTCTATCTCAAAAAACACCTGCGTGACAACTTCAGTGAGGTTTCGGAAGCAGAATTTCTAGGCCATTGGGTGCGCCCAGCAACTCTAGCACATATACACGCCTTCAATAATGTTTGAGATTTTGAAAGTTTACTTTTGAATTTTCAGGCATACTTCAGGCCAAGCAAATTCGATTCCCGTATGCGACACAAATTTTTACACGGAAAACAAAATGACATTCTTGAACTATAAAAGATGTTTTCGACTAAGAAGCTCAGTTCTTACTCTTCCACAGTTTTTCCTGCGAAAAAAACCGCTTTAGCGCCGTCCAGAACGACGTCAAAAACATGCATGAGCACGGTAGTTTGAAAATTCGTAACTAAGGCCAGGAAAAGACTGAGAGGCTGCAAGGAACAGGTTCTGTAGCATAGTGCCCAGACTATTC